GACGTAACTAAACAAAAAGTTGTGCACTTAAATCGAAAGGACAAAGATATTTACGAAAATGTGTAAAAAATATATTTTAAAATGTTTGCCGTACGTGTGCATATAAGTGATGAGGTGTACGTTTAGACTACGAAAACAGATGAACACAAATAAAAGTGATTCAACAATTCGACGTAGTCAAACAAATGATTGGTTCATTTTTTTGATGGATTTAAGAGGACAGTATCATTTCTTGTTAATAAAACAAACTGATTATTGTTTAATTGATATTTTTAATTACCCTTTGATTATCATATAGCTTAATTACTCCTAGCATATAGGCTTCTTAAAAAATGTCTCAATATTGACGTAAGTTTCAAAGTGATATTATTTACTAGAGACACACTGTGCTCCCACTGGAAATCGAATCGATCACACATCGCTTCATTTGCTTAGGGACCATCCAGTCTTGGCGGGGACACCGTGTCTCACTAGGGTGTAAGTGCATCTAGCCAACGAGGTACGAATAGGGTAAAACATACCTCTTAGATTCCACTGCCAACCACTACCAAGTAAATAACATATTGACTACCTAACAAACTTGTATCAAGAGACAATATATGCCAACTAAATAATTGATGCTGACAACATATTTTGTAAATTTGATCACAACTAACCTTTCTTACCTCCTACACTAGACCCCAGGTAGCCGTGCAAAATACTTAGTCTCTTAGACATTTATGTCACAGATGAAACTATTTCTCTTGGCTTCATAATGTAGAAGATTGCCGACAACATTTCAAAAACGTAGTTTTTCCTCAAAACATATAGGTTTTCAGTCATCTAAGAACTGTTCTAAAAAGGTGACTTCTAGGTCATATTGATACTCAGGAAATCGAATTATTTTACTAGGGTAGTACTGATACTGTGCTTACCAGATGAGCTACAGAATGCAGATTTTATTGTTATTTCGAAAATAAAATTAAATATACCCTATAGAAAAAATTGACTGAAGATTTAATGCAGGGTAAATATGCAGCTACTAAAATGAACTCCGAGCGGGTACCCTTACGTTTCATCATAGTATAATCTTAAATGTTCAAGAGAAATATGTGCAGGGTGAGGCGCAGACAACAGTCGAAATTTATACATGAACAAGTATCTATGTGCTAAAAAATCAAATTATTTCGAAGTTTCGATTAACATTCCTTTTTGACACTGGTTGGTAAAGACAAAATTTACCTTAAGTCAACTAAAAATGATTGAAAAAGTCACATACGGTCTTTAGTAAACCATTAAAAGATAGATTACAATACAGCTATATATTGGGTTTAATGTGGATGAAATTAAAATTTATCATATGTCTCTTTGCCTCATAAAAAACAGACCCAAAACGTTTCACTTTAATACTTACGCATAGAGATGGGACACATGAATTTTATGAGGAAGAGAAATAATGACTGTAGCAGCAATTATAAGATGAGACAAACATCTATTCAACGGAAGTAAGGTCTAATATTCATATCTGTAATAAGAAACGTAATGACATCTGGATAACTAAATTGATTCGTATTTCCAAAAAACACCAGTTAGTTCTTTACTAAATCCGTTAACTCACTTAACACTCAACTCATTAGAAGTAGCAACCCCTAAAGCCAGAAGCCGGTAAGAAAAGGCAGTGCCATATGTTAAGTTGATAATTGAAGACTCCAAGTAGATAGATTTTTTGTGCAATATGCCGTGTATCATGCCAAAGATTTGATAATCAATTTCCAGACAACTTCAAATCAACCTCTTCTTGTCTGGAGAAAAATCCTAAACATGATAAAAACAGTTTTAAGTACGTTTCACAACAAATATTTAGCAGTCAAGTGACGAAACAAAATTGCTCGTACCATGTGGTAAGTCATTCAATCAAATCGACCTGTGAGTGGTAACCAATAAAGATGTTGTCACTTAAGTCAAAAATTAATCATCATTGTTAATATTATTTTGCTGAATAAATAGACAGTTTGCCAAAAGCTTGCTTAACAGTCTCTTCATGAAGCAGTTTATGAAAAATTTAATTTCATGTGAGAAGGGTAATTATATATATATTGCAGATTTTTAAATTCTAGTAGTCAACCAGCTCTGTAAATGTGCTTTAAAACTCTAGAATCACCAACAGATCAACAAAGAGAACGATTTTGTCGGTTGCATTACTTCCCACTCTGCCATTTTGAGCTCATACGAGTAGAAGAACAATAGATGTAGAAGGATATTAAAGTAAGCAAAAAGATGTCAGATAAGAGGAAACAAAACTTATGTCTGGTAAACGCGCAAACTTGTGTGTAGGATAAAGTGTGATCATAATAATACCATCTTGGTCTGCAACATAAAGTCCCAGATCACTACTTAGGACGACCTCAGTGCGTCAAGGTACATTTTCCAAAATATTTCCAACCAAAAGTTAACTTTAATGAAATGTGACCTTTGTCTCACTTTCTCAGGTTGCCTATAGCTTATTTCCACCCAATTTAAAATTATGTTGACGTCATGTTTGAACATAAGACTAACATCAATAAACTTAGTATAACAAAAAGCGGGTAGTAACCATACTAAGTCATATGACCTTTTCAAACCACTTCACAGTTTTTTCATAATGGTATTGATATTGATATACATCCTCGGTTAACAGAATTTACGTACTTCATGGTCATAATATGGCATGATGAGTAAATGTCAGGTTAAAACCTGATTTGCGGCAGGATTCAAAACAGTGGTTTCTGGATTACTGGACCGGTGCTCTACCTATTGAGCCTTGAGACCTTAGAGTAGTCGTTAATTCAACCAACACTGACAACTTTATTTTCTGTTTGCTTCGTAAGGTGCTAATGTATTTACTTATGCGAATGACCGTTTTCCGTATAAATGTGTTCAAAATTTTGAGATTTCTGAACTGAGACCATATGAATCATGTTGATAATGATGTAAACCGTTATCTTAATGGTTGACATTGTGAGACATTTTTCGAAATCTATCGTATTTCAAAACCATCCAAAATAGTTCACAGGTCTATTGAGGTATTTAGACACTAACTCAGAATAAGAAAATTCTACACAAAAAGTCACTAACTAGTCCAGTTCACAAGTGGAAGATAACTCGGTCTTTCTAATCAATCTACCAAGAACATTAGAAGGGTAAACTCATTCTTCTCAAGAAACAGAGGATAATCGCTGAAGCAGATTTTTATGTTTCTTTATATTTTCCGCTTATGAGGCTTCAAAGTTTTCCATCCTCTTTAAACACAAATGTTACTCATTTTTACTATTGGAGATATCTTGTATCCAACTGGAAATGAGTATTTAATATGAATTTCTTCAATCCAAAGGTCATCTGAATTTGCTTTCAAACCTATCATAATATATTCAGGTTTTTATAACCTGAATTACGCAAATGTATACGCTTGTACAATAACCCTCAGATTCCACTCTTAATGGGCGCTCAGCTCCACCGTAATAGAAAAAGTGGTAATAGAACAGAGGGTGTATTTACAACGTCAACTATACACACAAAATGCAAGGCTTGTATATATTACAATGGCTTAGGCTATTTCCTGGCGTACTAGATTTAAATTCTATTGGTTTTTGTCCCTTCGACCAACCTGATACTTGCAACTTGGCCCATATGATTTTCCCAAAATTTCGAAGCAAACCCATTGATTGAAAAAAGCTTCAAGCATAAGCGGATTCTTATGGAGATTTTATCAATCTTTCTGCACACTATAACGAAGGTAAACTAAATATAATCGTGAGGAAAACTATCCAACCTACACCTATGTTACAATATGAATGGTTATTCTTAGTGATGCAAGAAATAAGTTTTATATAGCGTAGAATATAAACTGTGGTGGTTGTGAAATTTCAGTTATTTACGGCATATTACTACTGATATGAAAATTACTTGCGAGTCATTTGATTATGTTGACAGGTTGTTTAAGATAGTTCACACAGCTTATCTACTTCCTGAACTGTAAGTAGTTTAGAAGAACAGTGGAAACAGAATTAGGAAGTGTGTATTACTTTGATTTTCCTCAGCTGACTCACAACCTATGAAATATGATGCTTATGATAAATAACAAAATGTACAACTTCATTTAATAAATTTGACAAGGATTTGTCGATGGAGATGTAAAATAATACACATATAGGCTAATCAGATTCCATGAAATTCGATAAAGTATCTAAGACTTTACAAAGAAAAAGTAAGACCGTCAATAGTATCTCTTCTAGTATAAAGATCAGTTGTAAGTTCTCACTTTCAAGTAACCTGAAATGTAAGAGAGCGATGATTAAGTTAAGAGGGAAAATTTCGATTTGACGAGATTCCAACCATTGATCTTTATTTTGAAAAATAGACGCTTTACCGACTAAAACCTAGTCACAGATACAATCTCTGAACTTGATCACCAAAACCACACGGGAGATATAGTGATCGCCAAAGTGGGTTGCCTCAAATCGCAACCTTTTTCATAACCAGTCTCTGTCATTTCATATAATTAATTGGATTGTCACTAATTTGGGAATATCGCATTTTATTTAGAAAAACTTATTTATTTAAAGCAAAGTAAAATATAGATTTGGAGACATATCTAGATTTCTCTTGACTGAGATGGCTGATGATTCCAGTAAAAATTAAGTCCATTTATTAGAAGCTTGGATTAAAGACATTGCTTCTTTTCAAGTTATTCTTATTCCTACCAACTGATATCTAATATTTACAAGACGGTCTTTTCTTCACTGGCTGATGGACACTTATGTGAAGTAAATATAAATTTGCAATTTTTATCACCAGCAAACCCAGCACTTCCAATAATTACTATGAATTACTTTGAAAGGCAAGCGCTTAGTACCATGGATTGCTATAAAGAGGAGATAAATAATGGGTGATTGTGCTTACAACCTTGCCACCTCTTGTTCAACACCAGAAATATTCAGCTTGTAAACCTGAAAGGAAAGCTTATTTTCCCGTATTATTTTCAGGTTTTCGTTATGCAACTTCACTTATCTCCTTTGTGCGTGTCCACCAATTTGGATTATTGAACTACACCATATGGACCAGGTGAACAATGCTTCTGCCATATTCGAATTGATTTCAACTAAAAACCACACCCCATTATACACACCACCTGTGTGGATTAACAAAATTTCAATGATTTCACCTGAAAATGTAAGTTTTTTGGCTAAATTTGTTTATTTGTTTAATTATGCTTATCTTTTACACTCGATCCCAAGCACAGTTGTTTGATTCAACCGTGGAACTGAACACAATTACTTGGATCGGCTTATCGGCCTTTCATCTTTCAGTAGATGTGCAACGTAGACAGGATATTCATAAGCTTGATAATAACCGTTTGTAAAATCCATAGTTTTAGTCCCGGTATTTTAGTCCTAAACAGAACAAAAACCATATCTTGATTCTCTCAGCATTATAAAATTCAGTGACCAGTTAAAATTAGAATACCATTGTATGAAGCAATTATTCATAGGGGAATAATTGATGTCTATTTTAGTTGCACAACCTAAACAACCCAAACTGTTTATGTACGCAACATCAGGAGATACACAGAATTTCTGTTGCGTTTACTGTAAGCCGCTAGATGTGGCCTCTGAAATTCTTATTCAAAATGTGCATTTGCTAGTAATTACCATCCACACAGTGGAGAAAGATTGGAAAAGTGAATCATTCGTTTCTGAGAATGAGCCTTCTGCAAAAACATTTTAACAGTAAAATTAATTTCCTTAAAGTACAGGGGTGCAAAAAATGCTTAGTATATCTACGTTTCCTGACTGCATTTCTCAAATTTCATACATTTCATTCAAATTGATTTGATAACTGTGAATTTATACTACCGAAGTTTCAGAGCATATCTGATCAAATGGTAAAGATTTTCTTAAACATTTTCAGTATAAAACGATTATGATTCTACTACGATTTGTCCCTTGGGTTCCCAGTGGAACATAAAGATTCAGTAGCACGCATCCACTGCACTCTCTTCTACGCAGTCTGCCCATCCCGGTCACACCACTGACAACAAGCTTTCATTTCTTCCTCACATAATCTCCCCCATGTCACCCTAGGACGCGGACTCCCAAATCGTCGTTTCCCATTCGGCTTCCACTCGAGGGCCTGGTAGGTGATGTCCTCAGTGTGTGAAAATCCATCTACCCTTTTTACTCACATTCGTTGGGCGATAGGTTGTTGGTTGGTTGATTCGTTTCCCGGCCAGAGTTCCTTGTTGTTTATCCTTATCACTCTGGCCATCTGATCTCCATCTTCAGTATCGAGTGAGCGTAGGCGTCAGCTGTTGATGTGGTGTATGTTTGTAGCTTGTTGAGAATGGTTTTCATGATGCGCCAAGTCTGTGAACCATCACATAGAAGCAATGACTTACTTGACTGAATTAGTGTTGAAAATACAGATCTTGTTCACGCTTTATGCTGAGTGCAGTGCAGTGGAATAGATCTACACACTGACTTCAGACTAATGAAGGCCTGTCTTGCTGTCTTTCCGATCCTGGCTTTGACACCCTCATCTGTGCCACCACTTGTAGTTGAAACGATCCTCCCTAGATAGGTAGGTGAAAGAGACAACAACCTCTAAATTCCTCTTATGATTGGTGCTTGTTGTTGCTATTGTTGTTAGTGGTTGGATATCTTCATCACCTCTGTCTTCTCTACGTTCACCTGAAGTCCCATCTTCCTTCGCTTCTCTGCCTCTTCTGCCAACTTGTTAGTTTGCCACTGTGCATCTTCGAGTATGTGCAACAAGACATTAGACATAAATCATCGTCATCAACATCATCATCGGCGAAACCCAAATCTTCCTCTGGGGCCTTTTCGCCGTCCCAGCGTATGCCCATCCTCTCGCTCCTCACAGTTGTCTGTTGTGTGGTCCATTCCAGTCGACCACAATCGCAAAGATCATCGTTGATAGTAGGTGGCAACGTTGTCTTACTTCTGTCCTCTGTCTTCACTTCAAAGGCGTCACTCAGATTTCCATTGTGAATCACTCGACATGTAGCATCACATAGCATATAGCTGTTGAATGAGGTTGATAAAAAATTTGTGGCACTGAAACCGTAATGCTTAAGAAGCTGCTTGCCCAATTACTTCTCGGTCGACACTGTCTAAGACCCTTCCAAAATCGATAAAGTTGAAGTGAAGAATTGACTGCCATTCTGTGCTCTGTTCTATGGCGATGAATAGAGTAGCATTGAAGTTTGATCCGCACATGAAGCTAGGCGAGGTAAATTTTAAGATATACAAATCTTTGTGTCATTGATATAAATTAAGACTATGTAGATTGATACAAACTTGAACTCTGCTTACTAACCATATATTTGTTTAAAACAAAGGGATGAGATGAATTGTCTTGGTTGTGTTATCATTTGTGTGAGTTACAAAAACAGTCTCTAACGTGACATTAAAATTGACTTTTCATACTATCATTTTAAATTCAAACACGGACTTACGCTAATCACCATTTCTAGATGAAGTTTGCCAACATTTAAAAAAACAGAAACCTTTGTCTACTGAGAGTGGTGAATAACTCGTTACTTCTCACTCAACTTTATTTCATTTAATTTTTCCTAATTCACAAACGAACCAGCATTGTTTATTATTCGCTGAAGGATTTTCAAACTTCTTATCCACCAGATTATTTTAAAAATTGTCATGTGGGAATAAAACTATGGTAGGGTTTTTCCTGAGTTAGATCCATATATGAAGGGTACTACTATGCAATACGGTACATGTGGAAGTCAAGCTGTCTTATTATTATCATTAGTCCCTTGGGTTCCTAGTGGAACATAGGGCTTCAGTAGCACGTCTCCATTTCACTCTGTTCTCTGAAATCTTTTCAACCTGGTTCCACGACAGCCCAGAAGCTCTCATTTCCTCCTCGCACGACCTCCTCCATGTCACCCTCGGACGTCCAACTCGTCGCTTCCCATGGGGATTCCACTCGAGCAACTGGCCTGACGCGTGATGTCCTCAGTCGGCCTTCTCAGTGCATGGCCGATCCATCTCCACTTCTTCCTGCATATTTGTTGCGTGATAGGTTCTTGGTTGGTTCGTTCCCAGAGCTCCTTGTTGCTTATTCTTTCTGGCCATCTGATCTTCAGTAGCGAGCCATTGTAGGCAATTGTTGATGAATGTCTGTAGTTTATTGGAAATCCCTTTCGTAACGCGCCAAGTCTCTGGGCCATACAAGAGCACTGAATTGACGTTGGTGTTGAAAATCCGGATCTTGTTCCGCATGCTGAGTGCAGAAGATCTCCACACTGATTTCAGGCTAATGAAAGCCTGTCTTGCTTTTCCGATTCTGACTTTGACATCCTCGTCTGTCCCGCCTGTAGTTGAAACAGTGCTTCCTAGATAAGTGAAGGAGGTTACTTCCTTTAAGTTTCTCCCGTTGACGGTGATTGGAGTTTGTTGTTGTTGGTGGTGGTGAGGTATCTTCATCACTTCTGTCTTCTCTATATTCACCTGAAGTCCCGTCTTCGCTGCCTCCCTATTCTGTCAACTTGTTAGTTTTTGCCTGCAGATCTTCAAGTTTATGTGACATCAGGCACAAGTCATCGGCGAAATCCGAATCTTCTAGGTTCTTTTCCGCAGCCCAGTGTATCCCCCTCTTCTCGCTGCCCACTGTTTGCTGCATGATCCAGTCCAGTCGACCACAATCAGGAATATCATTGGGGATAGTAGGCAACCTTGTTTCACTCCTGTCTTCACTTCAAAGGCATCACTGAGCTTTCCATTGTGAATTACTTGGCATTTTGCATCTTCATATAGTTGTTGAATGAGGCTGATAAAGGTTTGTGGTATTCCGTAGTATTGAAGCAGTTTCCAAATTACCTCTCGCTCGACGCTGTCAAAGGCCTTCTCAAAGTCGATGAAGTTGAGGTAGAGACCTGATTGCCATTCTATGCTCTGTTCTATGATGCTGCGAAGCGTTGCAATTTGGTCGGCACATGATTTGTACTTCCTGAAGCCTGCCTGTTCCGGTCGCAGTTTTGAATCCAGTGCATTCTTTAGCCTCTCCAGGATGATGCGGCTTAATATCTTACTTAGGGTGGATAGGAGGGTGATTCCGCGCCAGTTCTTGCAAACACTGAGGTCTCCCTTCTTCGGCAGTTTAACGAGGTAACCCTTCTTCCAATCACCAGGTACCTTCTCTTCCTTCCACACCTTCTGCAATAGTGGTATGGTGTGAGCATGTCCGCTGTTGTCTCTGCGTCCGTTCTCAGTGCTTCTGGTGGGATTCCATCTGGTCCTGCTGCTTTTCCGTATTTCAGTAGCTTTATGGCATTCAGGACTTCCATTTTCGTTGGAGGATTTATGTTCACTTGTAATTCAGCGGCTGCAGGTCGTATTTCTGGACGAAGTGCAGGTGGTGGTCGATTCAAGAGCTTCTTGAAGTGGTCGGCCCATCGTTTCCTCTGTTTCTCTTCTTTCGTAATTAAATTTCCTTCTTCATCTTTTATTGGTTTCATCTGTGTTGGTCTCTTCCCTGATAGTAACCTGGTTATTTGATACAATAATGTCAGGTCTCTCTTACCTGCAGCCTGTTCTGCTTCACTTGCCAGTGTTTTGTAGAAGTGTCTTCTGTCTTTCCGTGCACTCTTCTTTACTTCTTTGTTCAGTGTTTTATACATTGTGCTCAGTTCCTCTTGTCGTTGAGCATCCTTGCACTGGTTTATCTTCTGCTTCACCATCCTCCTCTCCTCTATCAGCTTCCAGGTATCCATTGAGATCCATTCCTTATCTTCTTTCTTCTTTCTTCTCTCCTAATACTGTTGTGCAGGTTTCTTCCCACATAGCTTTCAAAGACTTCCAGTGTTCTTCCACACAGGTTTCTTCACAGATGTTCCTCATTTTCTCCCATTTTGTCTTGATGGCTGCCTTGAAGACCTTCTTTGTAGTTTCATCCTTCAGTTTCCGAGTGTTGTACTTGAATTGAGGTCTATCACCAGCTTCCCTGAAGGCTTTCAACTTGATTTGGAAGGTTCCTTGCACTAGATAGTGGTCTGAACCTACATCTGCTCCTCTTCTTGACCTTGTGTTAAGTAGACTGCGTCTCCATTTTCTTGGGATTGAGATAAAGTCGATTTGATTTTTAGTGTGTCCATCTGGTGAAATGCATGTCGCTTTGTGGATATCTTTGTGCCTGAACACACTGCCTCCAATCACCAAATCGTTGATTGCACAGAATTATGCAATAATTCTCCATTCTCGTTCATTTCACCTAGCGCCTCTCGACCCATGGTTAGTTCTCTTCCTGTGTTTTCCGCTCCCAGTTTGGCATTCATGTCACACCACCCATTAGAATTTTGATATCGCCAACTGAGGTCTTGTCCAGTGTTGATTGCAGTTGTCTGTAGAATTCCTTCTTTTTCTCTTGCTCTGCATTATTTGTAGGTGCATAACATTGTATGATTGTGACCTTCCTTCCTTTTGAGTTGAACCTTGCTGTCATGATCCTGCAGAGGAGATTGGTTCCCACTGCATGAGAGCCTTCGATGATCTTGAGGACATCATGATAGCCACTCCCTCAGTGTGTTCGTGGTTGGCGTCTGGGTGACCGGAGTAGATTATTGATTCTCCAGTTGACAGTTTGGAGAGTCCACTCCCATTCCATCTGCTTTCGCAAATCCCAAGCACTTCGATGTTATACCTTCTCATCTCCTTTGCAATCTGGGCTGCCTTACTGGGTTCAAAACATCGTACAGACATTCCATGTCCCCACTTTTACTTTCGCTTTCATCGAGAGAAGACACATCGGCCAATTGGCTTCCCGAAGGCTTTCACCAACTGACGTCATTTCGCCTCTCCGATTCCAGCGAGGAATAAGTTTGTTTTCATTTTTTATATTTTGTTTGTGCTTTGAAGTTTCTTTAGCGGTTGTATTTGTTTTACGGGGTAGGGTTGCTACCCTATGCCCAACTTCCCTCTTTACCCGGGCTTAGGACCGGCTAGTAACTAGTGAACTAGTTAACCAGGCGAGGTTCAAGCTGTCTTGTAAGACCAAAATTTTAAAATAAATATTGCGCATTTTCTAGGTTTCTTATACTAGTAATATGAACTATAACACATGTGTCATCATTCAAATGACCCTGGAAATTCATTTTTATGTAGTATTCTGGGTAATCCGTAAGTAATTTCGAAAGGAGAAATGTAAGTGATATGAATAATCTTCATAGTAAGGTAGAAAGTGATTTCGTACCAGAGTTCTTTTAAATATGTGAAATTATAGGATGAGAACTCGATGAATATTTATGGTGATCATTCTATTTTGAACCCGAAAATTATGTTTGAATACATTTTATTACCTTGGAAAAAATGAATGAAGCTATTCAATTTCATTTTAAAAATGACGAAATGATATTATTATGTTATTGATTTCTGTACCATTTGTTTTACCCAACAGTACAAAAAGTCTTATAGAACTGATGATGATTGCGTCTAAGGTTAAAGGGTATAGCTCTCGATTACCAACATCATGAACAGTTGCAAGCACAAGGTATGTTTCTTCAAAATGACAGGGATTTTTTGAGGTCACTTCTGACTAGCTGATTATTGGCTTATTTGTCCAAAAACATTTGCCTTAAGTCTAATTACTATCTGTATTTTTGTCAGATTTACTCATCACTTTGGTGTGATTTCAAAATTCATTTCCACAAGAATACCAAAGATAATCTGATTAGTACTTAAGTAAATTTGTCTCTTGAGATGAAACACAAAATGGCCTTGTTAGAAGAACTAAATTATTTATGAAAACTTCTAGCAGTTGCGTCTTCTAGTTAACATTTTCAAGCAAAATGTAAAAAACAAGAACTTTCAGCTAAGCTTAAATTATAGCCACAACTTAATTCAAGCTAAGTTCGTCTAGATAGATCAATTCTTTACCTTAAAACATGTGATTAGTTCCGACTGATTGAGATCGATGAACTGTAGCTACCCGCGTGCAGTGGATGTAAATTGCTTGTTTACATTTAACCGTAGGCTAACAAATAATGAACTGACAAAGGTTGAGACGTTGGATAAGTGTTTTATTGGTTTGAGATAGTTTACTGTTTTCTTCATCCTCGTTTTACCATTTCCAATTTTGACTTATAACTGACTCATTTTAATGTTAAAACAATTAGTTTAATCCGACGGAATCCAAAACAATAATATATTCTCATCCACTCTCACAAAATATTCTAGGCAGTATATTGATGGATTTCACCGTACCCAAATATATATTTAAGGTGGTAAAATCCATTTACAGTGAATAGGCAATAAGAAACATGAAGAACTGTGTCCAAGGAATATGCAAGAACAATGTTCATAAATGAACAGCAGACAGAATTCACGAATTAGATGATGAAAAGTGTTACTTATTGGTGTTTTGAGCCGACTGAATAAACTGGATTACGAACCGTGCTTCGACTCAGCTGTGGTTTGTAGTTAGAGATTACATCTGCCAAAAAACTTTCCACTGCTTATCAAGAAATAATAAGAATAGGAAATACTAATTGGAGAGAAACTTCAAATGTTCATTGCTTTTATTGGTGTTCAAGCTTACTCTGAATGGGAGATCTGGTACGTTGCTGAAGTCTAAGTACTAAAAAATATCTGTCATGGGTGCGCACTGCTGCGGAATCTCATACTAGGATAAAATACCTGTCTAGTGCTAGCAAGTTTTTAATGGTTTTCCAACTGATGTCATTCTGTGATGAATACCAACTTGAAGACCATTTTCCTCGGAGCTTCATTCTCCTTGACCATGGATAATTTCTACTATTTTTCAGCGAATAAGACAAAATCAGGAAGTAGGATTTATCCTAAAAGAGTTTTCAAAGTATACACAGTCAAACCAAATTACCATCCATCTCATAGCATCCCTTCGAACGTGTTACGTGATCTGGCTATAGAACTTCGTCTAGTGTAAAAATGATGAACAGATGTAGATGGGACATCTTTATCGGCATTTCTGTAAGCGCTATCGGATTAAGCTTAGCCTAACTAAGAGTATTTGTTAGCATAAAAACTGAAACTACATTTTCTGCTGAAGAAACTGTAGCATACACAGAGAAACATCAAGGAAGATCTTGTTTTGACTTTCCAAACACACTGGGATTATATAAAACCTCGTAATATAATGAATGCACTTTTTAGTTGTGTCAGCAACCTTTTCTACTTGTGTTTTTCTCTTTTTTCAATTTAGGAAAGTATGATGATCATGGGTGAGGGGATTGAGGAGTATATTCACTCCGTATATTTGACAACCACAACAAGAGAACCTCATGGAACAAAAAGAATAGTTCGAGATACATCAATACATGAGGTAACTGTCTTTTGTCATGTAACATCGTTTGAAAGCCTGTATATCATTTCTTAGATTTTGAATATCAACTTATCAATTTACAGGGTTGACTAAAAATATTTTGGCAATTTATGTAAATGAAATGTGACCAGAACTGCTGAGCCTTTTGAATTCCTCTGTAAACCAGTTTATTAAATAAGACCAGTCTGTCAATTCTTCCGAATCCATTCTAATTATTATGAAGCTAAATGAGAAGCAGTATTTCTGTTCGCAAAGTGGGATCAGAATTTAAAGATGATGTGTGATGACTTCTTGATAGATCCAACAGACTGCTTTTTTCAAGACAAGATTATCCCTCTTCTTATTAGAAAGTGCTAGCAAGGTCTTTGAGAGGGTTAGTTACCCTTTTATGTCTCTCAGCAATGAACGTGCATTAACCGCATATATTAAGCCGGAAGAATATGTTGAACAATTCATTTAAACTAACCACTTTTTTCATAAGATAATTTGAGTTTACAGTATCAGATGTGAATAAGTATATAAGTGCAAAAATCTCTCACAATCCTGCTTAAAAGTAACACAATAAATAAAATTCTTTTGTCTGCATACCATTGTGTGCTCCTTTTGGAAACTTGAATTAAGTCCCAATGAGAATAAAGTTAACCATATTTGGTACATTGAAAAGGATATTTATACATTCTTGGAGATCTATCTAATTTAATTTTGCTGCTCTAACTGGCCCTGGTTAACTAAATTTTAAGACTGGATTCTGAAATGAGATTTTCAAATTCCTTACAAGTGTCATTAATGTACTTACTAACGATCTCCAGTGTGAATGGTCGCCTTTTTGATTGTTGGGAATGATGAGCTCCACATTCTTTAGTTCAGAACTTTGATTGTTAAGCGATCGGTTAAAAATGTTATTCCTTCTTGTGGATTAAAAGGTGTAGTATGTACGAAGTATGGTGTCTAATCAATAATTGCCCCAGTCTGCAATCTCCCACGTAAGACTCATCGATATCTCTGTCAGTTATTTGAAAGCGTCAAATAATAGATGCCTGGTAGACCTAAGTTATATCTGTCACCACTTGATACAAACAAGCACTTCAATAATATGAGTCAAACGGAAGAAAGTTAAATAAATCAAATCTTAGCGTCAAGTGTTTGCGAACAAATTATTGTTTACGGATGACAAATCTATCCAATATTATTAGAAAACAAAGTGAATTTTCTATTTTAGGGAATAACAGCTTCACATAGCAGTTTAAACTGTTGAAATTCCATTTCCTTCTATCATTTCTTAAACCATAGTCAATGCATCCAAGGTATTTCAAAATAATAAAAGAATACAAAGTGCGAGGTGAACATTTTCCTCAAATATCACTAATGTTCAGTTTATTTAGTCAAATATATCAACTACGTGTCATCTAAGCTATACATATTGGTTAGCAAAGGGCTACAAATATTGAGTTTATTCGAGAAACGTGTTTGAAATGTTTTCTATATTTCATAAAACTGAATGCCTTTCATTGTCCTGAGTATTGTGTCATGATTAATCATCATCAGACACTTTTTAAATAAGTATGCATTACTAGAGGATACAATTGGCGAACGAAATCGCTACCACTTAACCTTTACAAAACGACACCGTTATTGGAAATTAATATCACTATGATGTTATAAAATATCATAGAAACGTAATCAAATTGATTATCTGATAATAATAATTTAAATTACATGGATATATTTTTACTTTGGGATGAGAATTCACCTGTAGTATATTAAACCATCTACAGAAGGGATGTTTTGTGGCTGTAAACATATCTTTTATCTGTGTCTTCATCACACTTTCTGGTATCAGATGAATGATCATGATACAACGAATAAAATCTTTCAGTGACGATCGACAATAACAGCATCTTCTGCTCTACAGATATACAACTGAACAAATTAGGCAGTTAGAAACCCCTTAGACTGATTTGTAGATTTAACCAGCCACACCAGAATGATCGAAATACTGGACAGGCGTTTCGGTGATTCAGTGTTTAGGTCGTCAAATGTACACTTGGATAAAATTAATCTGAGTAAGCTGGGTTATTTGGAACACTTGGATCTGGCTAGATGACTTGCATGGACAGGAATACCTAGAATAGGATGACCAATTTGCAAACGATTCACAAACTGCGAGGCGGTTTCCAAAGGAAATCCGGTTGACAGCACAGTTTTGAAAGCTTCTCTCAAGAAACTCATGAAATTTTTGCGAAACGTTTACAAATACACCTGATTTGTCTGTCAATTGCGGATATTAAAATTGTAATATTTCGCGAGAACTTCTGAAAATAAGTATACTCCTTTAATATGACGTAAGCTTTACATTATCACTCAACAACTTGAAGCACAGAATCATTCAACAGCTATATGCTATGTGATGCTACATGTCGAGTGATTCACAATGGAAATCTGAGTGACGCCTTTGAAGTGAAGACAGAGGACAGAAGTAAGACAACGTTGCCACCTACTATCAACGATGATCTTCGCGATTGTGGTCGACTGGAATGGACCACACAACAGACAACTGTGAGGAGCGAGAGGATGGGCATACGCTGGGACGGCGAAAAGGCCCCAGAGGAAGATTTGGGTTTCGCCGATGATGATGTTGATGACGATGATTTATGTCTAATGTCTTGTTGCACATACTCGAAGATGCACAGTGGCAAACTAACAAGTTGGCAGAAGAGGCAGAGAAGCGAAGGAAGATGGGACTTCAGGTGAACGTAGAGAAGACAGAGGTGATGAAGATATCCAACCACTAACAACAATAGCAACAACAAGCACCAATCATAAGAGGAATTTAGAGGTTGTTGTCTCTTTCACCTACCTATCTAGGGAGGATCGTTTCAACTACAAGTGGTGGCACAGATGAGGGTGTCAAAGCCAGGATCGGAAAGACAGCAAGACAGGCCTTCATTAGTCTGAAGTCAGTGTGTAGATCTATTCCACTGCACTGCACTCAGCATAAAGCGTGAACAAGATCTGTATTTTCAACACTAATTCAGTCAAGTAAGTCATTGCTTCTATGTGATGGTTCACAGACTTGGCGCATCATGAAAACCATTCTCAACAAGCTACAAACATACACCACATCAACAGCTGACGCCTACGCTCACTCGATACTGAAGATGGAGATCAGATGGCCAGAGTGATAAGGATAAACAACAAGGAACTCTGGCCGGGAAACGAATCAACCAACCAACAACCTATCGCCCAACGAATGTGAGTAAAAAGGGTAGATGGATTTTCACACACTGAGGACATCACCTGCCAGGCCCTCGAGTGGTAGCCGAATGGGAAACGACGATTTGGGAGTCCGCGTCCTAGGGTGACATGGAGGAGATTATGTGAGGAAGAAATGAAAGCTTGTTGTCAGTGGTGTGACCGGGATGGGCAGACTGCGTAGAAGAGAGTGCAGTGGATGCGTGCTACTGAATCTTTATGTTCCACTGGGAACCCAAGGGAAAAATAATAATAACTTTATTTATTTTACCTTAAGCCCTTTTTGACGAATGTATTAGCGATAACTAATCAAATGTCAGTGAAAGCCATCTTGTCTCATATTCCATTTTTCGGAAGAGATTCTTGAAATGGTAGATACAATTTAAGCAACATCTGGTTGTTATCAAACAAGTATGCATGAAATCAAGGAAATATGAAACAATGTTACATTTCATCAGGCCACTTACGAGTGAATTTGAATGCATACAAAAACAAAGTTATAAACACACTCGAAGAAAACCATTCTTACTTTCACGCAGCTGTTGAAATTTGAAAAACTGGTAAGTATATATTGGTGAGTAGCCAACTAAAATTGTTTTAAATGCATCTAGGGGATTTTTCAAAGTTCATCAGAGATATCCAGAATCCAGTATTAGTCAGAAATCTTTTTTATCCAGACAGGCATAAAATAGGCTTATAATACATGTGAACTGCATCTGTTTCTTAACTAGGTGTTTGATGTGTATGTTGAATCACTTTTGTACAAAACACACAGTTCCTAGTACGAGACTAATTTTTAAGTTTAATAATGATTTCCCTTAGAAACTATGATGCTCAGACTTTAACAGATGATCTGTTTAACATAGTCGATTGCTTCATAATATTTACGACCAAAATGAAAATTATATAAATAGTTAGGTAAACCAGTAGTTTCTTTTGTTTGTTAAGCCTAGCAAGGTACCTTATTTGAGCTGTTCATACTGAGTTTAAATGTGTAGCATTACGCACAAAAAACATGAAAGCTCAATTCTTTTTTTGGTGAAAACATAGTAACTGTACTGTGGTAAATTGACCAAACGTGTGCTTTTTGCTCCAAGACTCTGTCATGATAAAAGGCATCTAAAAAGCCGACCTAATGCTTGCTTAGTTTTAGCGCAGACAGAGGCATGATTAATTTTCAGCGGCATACTTATTTAATTTCCTTAGTTTGAAGAAAGTGTTCCATCTTTTAATTTTAATGAACAAACTTGGTAAATAATCCAATTAGGGCTAAGATAAAATTGTATTAGTAAGTATTCCAATGTGGTCTTCTAATGTCTGGTAGCTTCCTTGTTTTCTAACTTATCATAATTGGGACTTCTGTTTTCAGTCCGAAGCTCAACTTTGGTTTAACTTCACAAGTAAGTGGAGTTGGCACATCATTTATAACTTTTATAGTAACAAATCCTCAGGGTTGAAAAACCAATGTATTCTCAAGGCGTTTTATTTTATTATTTTTTGGGTTGGTCGAATCACAGAAATATTGCCCACTTGAACTTTGGTTATTTCATCTACACATGATCGTCTGTTATTGGTTTGATAAGATTCTAATAGTGTCTCACAATTAAATATAGTGTTCTGTGCTGCAAATCATTTTGCTAATATATCCATCATGTCTTCAAAGTATCAACTGTCAACAGATTTAGATTACAGTTTTGGGATGGAATATTTGCATATTTATTAACTGAAAATAAATTTTGGCCAACAGTCTCCCTGTCAACTACCCCCTGTTATATTCGCACAGTTACGAAGAAGAACCACTTACTGGATTTCAGATACTGACAGTTCCGCCTGGTAG